TGGACGAATTGGCCAGTGGGGTAGTAGACGCAGGGCAATCCGCGATTGTTCGACAACTGTGACCCCACGAAGATCAGAACAAGGCGATTACTCGGGCTGCATCGGGTCTGCATCGTATGAAGAAGACCCAGGTAGCGACAGTTGTGGGCGGGCAGCATCAGGCATCTAGCTGCGGCGACATTGGAACTCACGGGGAGTGGCTTGGTCAATCTAGCTTCGAGAGTCCGGGTACGGCCGGGCGCGCTCGGCCGAAGTAGTGCGGCCGACCGGTATTCGGGTTCGGGATCCGGAGCTGACTTACATGTTGCAGATGTCCCAGGCAAGACTTTCGCCCAATTCTACTTTCGTCAGTCATGCTACCTACAAATTGGAAAGAAGGATCAGAGCAATCATGTCAAATAGTTTACAAGTACCAGCTGTCACGAGGAAGAACAAGAGTGACTTGCGAGGTAATGTCTACCTCAACTTAGGTATGGAACCCCGGGGGATATATTGTCCATATTGACGGGACCGAGACCTGTGTTCCATGTCCGAGATACTACATGTACCATCTCCGTCGCGGGGGTTTCGGACGGCGGGTAAATGACACGTCAAGACCTATCTCATTTTTCTCATGCTACACATCAGCGATGCGACCTTCTAAGTTAATTCCAGAATGTGGGTAAATTCCGAACGCGAATGATAAGTGATGGAACTCACCCACAACTCCACACGGGATTCTACCTATATACATAGTAATCAATCGACACTTGTGGATGGCGAGAACGAAAGGGTGCAACTCAGCAAAGCACATCATCAGCAGCCTCAGTGCAACTCCTTTAACAGGACGACTTTACTTCTCCAGCGTTGGATCTCATTCCAACATAATGGCGGAATCTATCGAAGCAGACTACCTCGTCGTCGGCGCAGGCGGAATGGGAATGGCCTTCGTCGATACCTTGCTCTCGGATACCAAAGCTACTGTGGCCCTCGTCGATCGCTATAGCCGCCCCGGAGGTCATTGGACTACGGCCTACTCTTTTGTGAGGCTGCACCAGCCCTCCGCCTTCTATGGAGTCAACTCTAAGAAGTTGGGCAGCGGCTTCATTGACCAAGTCGGCTGGAATAAAGGCCTACATGAGCTGGCTACCAGCGATGAGGTCCTGGCATACTACGACCAGGTCTTGAACCAGCACTTCCTACCGTCTGGACGAGTCCAGTACTTCCCCAACTGCAATTATGAAGGCGGCGGCAAGTTCATCTCCATGATCTCAGGCAAGAGTTTCCAATTAGCTGGCAATTCCACCCGGATTGTGGACTCCACGTACATGCGCGTCAAGGTGCCATCCATGGGCCCTCCGTCGTACCAAGTGGCCTCTGACGTCTCTTTTGTGACGCCGAACTCACTATCGAGGATATCGCAACCCTTCGCCAACTTTACCATCGTCGGCGCCGGCAAGACGGGCATCGACACTTGCCTATGGCTGCTTTCGCGAGGAGTCGACGTCTCGAAGTTGACGTGGATCATGCCACGGGACTCGTGGCTTTTTGACCGCAGCGAGAGTCAGCCAGGCGCCGAGTTTGCCACGAGGAGCCTCAGTTGTTTCCCTGACCAGATGGAGGCCATCATGGCGGCGACATCTGTGAGCGATCTGTTGATTAGGCTGGAAGGAAGAGGACATCTCATGCGTATCAGCGACGACGTCTGGCCAACTATGTTCCGCTGTGCCTCCGTGTCGGTGGCTGAGCTCGAGCAGCTGAAGAAGATCACGAACATTATCCGCCAGGGCCGAGTTGTCAGCATCGGGCTTAACGAGGTGAAGTTCGACAATGGGTTCAGCTACCAGCCGCAGCCAAACACCCTCTTTGTCGACTGCACGGCGGACGGACTGGAGAAGCGCGAGGCAGTCCCTGTCTTCAACGGAAATCTGATCACGTTACAGGCTGTCCGTAAATGCCAGCAAGTCTTTAGCGCAGCCTTCATCGCCCATGTCGAGACAGCTTACAGCGACGATGAAACCAAGAACAAGCTTTGCCGCCCCATTCCGCATCCGGATCAGGATTTTGACTGGCTTCTTACCACATACCTCGATTTTCAGAACTCCATGCTATGGCTTGCCCAGCCCAAAACCACAAAGTGGCTTTCTCAGGCTCGTCTGGACTGGATCGGCGCCTTACTGGCATTTCCCCGCACCGGCGACGACGATGACTCCGACTCCTCGATGAAAGAGCAGGCCCCGACCTGGGATATGGCTCCGCAGATCCAAGCGGCGTGTGAGAAACTCAAAGATTTACTTGCTCAGCTTCCGTCGAAAGACGCCGAACGAGTGAAGGGGCAGATCCACGGCGAGTAAATGTGAAAATGTAAGGCAGGTCTCACGAAGCGCCGGATGTCGCGGTGGCTCCCGTCCTCGTCTAAAGCCGTACAGCATGGTGTGCGTCGATGGTAAAGCTCCAAGCGTTAGGATTGTAGCTTGTGGACTTAACCTCGAGTGAAAGCTTGTCATCGTAGACCGCATCACATGTAGATGAAGCATCTCAAAACTAGCCAGTTGCGCTCTCAAGTAGGATAGTTTAATACAGGGCAAGCTGAACTCGCTGCTTTACAATCTTACCAGCTTGCGTCACTACGTAATGCACGGGTTTACAGGATCTCTGGAACGTAGGAAATTCACAGTTGCCATCACACAACAATAGCATGGGTACTCGTAACACCTCGCTCGTCTGTCCCAGGTCAGGTCTGAAACTTTCGAGAACAAGTCAGGGAGTTCAACGTTCAGAGTTTCTCGATCTTGGGTAAACCAAGCTCACACTGTTGACCGATTAAAGACACGATAGCAGACTTTAGTCAAGCTCATTATCACGCACAACAAGAGCTTTCCAAATTGCTGACAACACCTTACTGACGGGATCTAAAGGACGCAAGACGAACAACGAGATGCTATTACTTTAGCTTTCTTTCCCCCGGATCAGAACCCGCCTTTGCAGTAGCTCTTGGCCTTGGGATCCTTGATGCAGACCTCGTTGTATCCCACCCACTATATCATCCAATCATTTGAGGGACGGATCCGTCGAGTTCCTTGCCGGCACAGTCTCTCGCCACAGAGTTATATCGACTTAATAGCGATGAAGAGGAATCGGCGGTGCAGATCTCGTTGGTCATGGAGACGCTGCCCAAAGAAAACTTGTAGCTGAGGCTTGTCATTGTCCGCATGGACTCGTGGCAGTCGATGGTCGCGGATAGCGAGTTGATACAAGCCGTCAAGTGCCATAGGAGAATGCCGACAACGCTCAGCAGTCATCTAAGTCCATCCCATGATCCATATCTATCATTCCCAAACCTCCCACCGTCCAGGATCCTCGTGGACCCCCTTCCATCGCCTCATTTGCCGCTCGACATCTTGCTCGTCAGCGACGACCCCGTCAGCTCGCCGTTGTACACAGGCATCTCGTCCGCGGCCCTCGCATCAGGCGCGATGTTAGCCAGATCGCGCACCGGCATCTCGGCACACAAATCGACCACGCTGCGGGTCGTCATCTTCATCCAGCCAGACCACGGCCTGACTGCTCTATGTCTCCCCCAGGGCGCGGCCGGGGCGCTGTCCGCCTCGGCCAAATCTCCCTCGGCGAAATCAGCCTCGACGCACTTGACCCAGAAGTAGGGGTCCCGGTCGACGCCCTCAAGCACCTCGGCGTCAGCAAGGAGGAACGCACGCTGGTTAGGGCTGTCGTGCATGAGGGGCAGTGACTGGTTATTATCCTTGTCAATAGGGTCGCCGGAGCTGCGACTGGCCACCGCCGCCTGCTTGTAAATCATGCGCACCTCGTCCATGGACTTATCTGCGAGCAGGGCGGCATCGGAGCGGGCGTCGAGGACGAAGAGGGACTTGAGCTGCGCGGCGACGTCTTCCTCGCCGGCCTCAACGTAGCAGTCTATCTCGGAAACAACCTGGGCCCGGATCTTGTCCAGGAGGATACGCCACTGCACGTCGGTGGCCGGGCCGTAGGCGGTGCGGTAGGTGGTGAAGCCCCAGCTGCGGTAGAATTCGCTCACGTCGTCTCCGGCGGTCCACGAGGTGCCCGCCGGGGGGCGAAAATTACTTTTAAGTATTGCGAGTAGTTTGGAGATGGCCATGTTATGTATGTATGTGACTGTGACTGATTTGTGTGTGCTGGATGGGGTTGTGAGTCGGGCAAAGCTTAATCAATGGTGTTGTAGTTGGAATCAGGAGATTGAAATGGTAGTCGTTGCCTGAACGGGAAATGAGACCATGTGGTTTTGTTGGAAGTCGTTGGGACTATTGGTTTCCCCAGTTCCCGTGAGTACTAAGGGATGACGTCGTAAGCGAATTTGTGTGGTTGGTGGCTTCAAGGGAAGGAGGCTGCGGCGAATCGTTGATGATCCCGGCCGAGCTAGAGAGTCAAGGTAAGGTTATCTCAAAGTGAGGCCCAGTATGACTACCTTGTGTGAAGCATCCCGATCCCTGAGTATCATCCATATCCTTAACCTCATCCCTTAACCCTGACCGGGCACGCCAAGATTGCAACCTCAGCGGATGAATTGAGAGCAACTGAAACAAGAACACGCAGTCGGGCGAACCCTAAACAGCCAAATCAATTCAGCGCATTTTCTGATGTTGCCATCCAACTGGATGATGACAACTGACATATACAACGTAAACAACTCGATAACCTGTTTGAACGGCATCACTAGCTGTGCGACCGAAAAGTGCAACTCTTGTGACCGTATTGTTCACAGTTCTCCGGTCTTAAGAAGGTCCTGCCTCAACCGGAATTGAGGCACGGGTGACGTTCATGTTGGGCCAGCTTTTTCACTACCAAGCATAATCTACAACCACGGCCTATGGCACCGGCTACACGGAGCACGTGGGAACTCCAGGATGATAGATCGGCCTCATGATATTATCATTTGGGTATTCCAATATTCACGCTTTGTTTGCCGCGTTTCCCGCAGAGTCCTAGACTCCGTAACTAGTTACGATGCCGAACCAACACCTGCGCTACTTTCGTGCGCCAGCAACCGACATAGTTCGACTCGTCTGTGTCCTCTCTAATTTTGGGGGCACGATGGTTTGGTCCTTTGCATGGAGTTCCTTCGCACCGGCCCACATGAAGTCTGTCTCTCCAAAGTTCACCCTCACTTTTGCGGCTCCGTCACAGTGGCTAATCGAGGGATACAACTTTCGAAATATGGACTTACTCGGATACCGGTCTATGTGATATTCTCATCAGCTTTGCTGTCATCGCCGCATCTTGAAAGAATGGTGAGTCGAACGTACCAACGACTTTACCATTGAGAGTGAATATATATTCGCGGTTCTCGTAATCGACCCCGCAGCCCACGGTGCTGCCTAACCCATAGATTCGTCCCAATATATGACTTGCGGAAGAAAAGTCCTCGTCATACACATTGCCCTCGACTCCATGGTAACCCACCGACCACAAATACCATCCGGGGTGTGCCTTCCTCATGTCGCAGAACTCGCCAGTCAAGCCGATGACCACGCTTGGGTCGGCAGGCGTAGCTTCCGATGACGGGGAAGTGTCTGATGTCGCGTCAGATTTCGCAGAGCCGTTAGAGCCTGTCTCCGGCTCTTCTGGTTCGCTTGGATTACTTGACTTTCTGTTCCGCTGTTCGAGATCGTCTGGCTTGGACTCGGACGTGGACACCTCCAAGGCCTCCTCTATTGATAGCTCAAAATATGCCAATCCCAGTTTCCTAGGCGATAGAGGATGGTTTGCCCTGATACAAATGTTGTACGGGTCGTTTTCCTCGTCGTGAGATGCTGTTTTGGATTAGCATCACAATGGAAATATCAAAGTCACGGCATATAGAAATAGCAGATAAATCAGGACGGATCACTCACCTGCAAAGAAAACCTCCAAACCCCCTTGGAGGATCTGCGCGCGCGACTCACTAACTTCTACACCTCTCTTCCACATAGGAGGTATAATGAGCGCTGTTGGCGTCTTGGTCTGGCTTTGCGGGGCTCTCGACTGGTACTCTCCAAGGGCGATCCTGGGAGCACATTGATACAAGAAGTGGTGCAGAGTCCACCCATCGGAATCTGTCTCCCTCTCGAATTGTGTTAGCATCGACTTTAGCTTCGTCCATAGGTCAGGCCTATCCATCTCGGTAGCGATTCGAAGTTCTTTGAATCCCAGCCCGGCCTCTTGGGGGTCACCTGGAAGACACTGGAGACAAGCATCCACAAAGTCCATGTGCTGGCGACTCCACTGGGTCGAGAAACCAAGTTCAAAAATGGACTTCTGGTCATTCTGCCGTCTGGTCCAGGGATTGCAGCCGCTTTTGACCAAGAGGACGGCCAGTGGGTTGCCCTGGTCTTCGAGGCTCTGGCAGCTGTCGAAGTACACCTCGAGACCATTGAGGCCCTCTTCATTCATCTCATTTTTCAGACCAGGGCTCTTGCTCAGCAAGATAGAAACACTTTCGACCCGGTTTCTGAATATAGCTTCCCAGTAGGCATTTGTCCAATCCTGTGAATCCCAACCCTGACCAGGAGCCAGTGGATTGTCTTTGCCAAGCAGCGGTTTTAGATTCTCAGGTCGGTTTGCTTGAATAGCAAGAGTTAGACAAGATAGGTTGCCACCTATCTTAGTTCTGAAATTCACTCTCTTATCTAAGAGAAGTTGTACGATGTCGCTATTGCATTCTCTGGATGCCAGGTGGATGGGATGGAACCCATCGGCGTTCGGTTTGTGCACATCTACAGAGTTGCTTCCACGGTGGTTCAAAAAGATCTTCACAACCTCAGCTTGACCCTTTTTGAGGGCCACATGCAGGGGTGTGTCTCCGTCGGCATTGGTGAGGTTGGGGTTGGCACCACTCTTGAGGAGAAATTCAGCTACCTCGACGCTACCCCAGAATACGGCTAAGTGAAGGGGGGCCCAAAGGTCTGCCTTTTGACAATTGATGTCGGCCCCGGACTCCAAAAGCAGCTTGGAAGTGCCCAGGTCACCTGCCGCCGCATGTAGTGAAGACCAGCCGTCTTCGTCTTGTGAATTGACTTCGGCGCCGGCCTTGAGAAGTGTTTCGGCGACGTTGAAATGATTCGCGCTGGTGGCGCAGAAAAGTGGTGTTTGTTCCCCAACCCCTCGTACATCGATAGGTGAACCTGCGTGGAGCAAGATGCGAACGGCTGCATCATACCCTTGATCGGCAGCCAGGTGCAAGGGTATATCACCGGACTCATCCGCCCTTTCAGGGTCAGCGCCGCGTTTGAGAAGCTCTCTCATGTTGTCAACTTGGCCATGATAGGCTGCGCAATGCAGTGGCGTTCTCCCCCAGCGACTAGGGCTGTCAATTTCAGTTCCACGGTCGATGAGGAAAGTCAGAACTTCAACTGATTTCCTTTCGGCAGCATAGTGCAAGAGTGAATGACGGTCGTCGTCCGTCTTCTGTACTGCATCTTCATCATCGCCCATTAAAAACTCAAGGACTTCCAGGGCAGAAGATCTCACTGCCAGCTCCAGGTTGTCCCATGATCCTTTCACGTTTTCATTGATATCGTTTGCTTTGACATCATTCGTTACGAGCTCTTCCACCATGTGGATATCGTTCTGCTCTATGGCATGATACACCGCCCGTCTTCCGTCTTCATCGGCAATGCCAACTTCGACGCCCTTTCGAATAAGAAGTTGTGCGGATTCGAGGCATTTCCTGCGCGTCGCCATATGAAGTGGTGTCTGGCCCAGTTGATTGATGGCGTTCGCATCTGCATCGACCTTTAAAAGGGCTTCGACTATTCTCGGACTCCCAGTGGCGAGATGAAGTGGCGTGTCCCCCGAGACGGAGCGGTCATTGGCGTTAGCGTTGTGTTCCAAGAGCAGCTCTACACTGCTGGTATGGCCTCTTTGAGCTGCAAAGTGAAGCGGCGTGAACCGGGAGTAATCGCGAGCTTGGACGTTCGCTGCCTCGGTGGTGTCCCTAGCGTGGTTTAGGAGCGTCTTTAGGACATCGTATACTCCGTAACTTGCGGCGTGGTGCAAAGGTGTTCGCCTTTCTGAATCTCCCAAGTTGATATCTGCCTTGTGCCGTAACAGGGTGCGTACCACCTCGTTGTAGCCTCGTGCTGTGGCCACTGAGATTGGTCTTTGCTTCGCATCTTCCTGTCCATCGGGAGAAACGCTTTGTTGTAGAAGATACTGGACTATCAGTAGCTGGCCTGCGCGTGATGCGGCCAAAAGCAATTCGCCACCGTATTCCAGGGTGCCTCCATCTATAGACTTCATTGTCTCTAGATAACCGTGTGCTGCAGCTAATTTCGCAGCTCGCCTAGCATAAGCGGCTGAAGCAATACTATTGACTTGCGCGTCGATGAGGATCTTAGTCACATTTGTGAATCCCCTCTCAGCGGCGTAATGGAGCGGCGCCAAGCCCATGTTGTCCGCAGCTTCGACTACTTCGAGCAGACGATCGTATGTTCGTGCAGCGTCAACAATGAAGGTCGTAGATTCCACGCTCCCACAACGGGCAGCAACATGCAGAGGCGTGCAGCCATGTACATCTTTGATGTATAGCGTAGACTTATCACGAACGACAATGTTGTTAACAACTTGCGGGCAGTTCGGGATTGCGTAATGCAAGGTCGTCTGACCAATTCGATCCTGAACCGTCAGATCTGCCCCAACCGCTACCAGATACTTCGCTGAATCAACACTTCCCATCTTGGCTGCGGCTGTCAAGGCTGTGTGGAAACCCATATCCTTGACATCGAGCAATTCAGCGGCGCTGGCATTGATCGGTGCCTCACCGGAAACGCCCATGCCCAAGAGTTGTCGGATAACATCTGTCCGACCGCATATAGCTGCCATGTGAAGCGGCGTTCTCCCTTCGTGATCGGCTTGCGTGGCGTCCTTTAAGGCACTGAAAAGAAGTTGAAACATATGGGTACTGCCGGCCAATGCTGCTACATGAAGAGGAAAGCACCGAGGCATTCCTTCTGGGTCATTGTGTAATAGCTTTTCCGCAGCCTTCGTGTCATTGCTCAAAATAGCACACTGAAGTCGGAAACAAGCTTCATTTCCCCACACAACTATAGCATGCTCCGTGCAGCCGTGCCGGACATGAACCGTCTCTAAGTCCGTGTGACTTCCATTACCTTCAAGGAGGGCGGGAACGATCAATTTTAGACCAACAAAGCCAGCCATATGAGCAGGCAGAAATTCCCCTTTAGCTAAACCCCTTGTTTCAAGAGATTGTGCCAGAGACTGTGGTACAGGATTTTCTCCAAATGACTGGTGATCGCTTGCTATGTCGGACCGGGAATGGCGGGCAGTGAATAGCAAGTATAGCTGGAACCACTTCCGAGAGAGATTGGTTGTTCTGAAGAAAGCGATGACTTCTTCTATGACCCCGTTATCGGGATCTTCGACAGCAAGAAGGTGGGAGGGCCAGAACCGACAGGCATAATCCAGAAACTCCAAGACGGGCTCCATGTCTGCAAGCTTTGGAAAGTTGTTTCTGTGCAATGCCAGGCTGAGACATTTGTCCCAAATATGTTGTTCGTCGCCACTAAGAACTACCTTCAGGTAGTGTAGACAAAGTCTGACGAATCCTTCGTGGGTTGTTCTCTCGAGACCTTTCCGCAAACTTCCTTCGGATAAGACTTCTCTGGCTAATGGACTGGTAATGCGTGCATAGGAATTTTCGACGGTTACAAGTCCTCCTAGATGACTGCGAAGATCTCGTTCCATGTCCATGGACACCATTCCCTGAATCTGGGAGATGGTTGAACGGCGCAGATTGATGGCTACCGCCACGGCAAGTTCCTCAATGCGAAAATCTCGCATTGCAAGAACCAGACAGGAAAGTACAGAATTCGCCCAAGAAACTGTGGAAGAGGGTTGGGTGCTAAGAATCTCTATGTGTTTCTCGTAAAGTAATCTTTCGTTCTTCGGACTCTTTGCAATGTCTGCTTCGATCGCCTCTGGAGAGCTGATGGTAAAGCTTTGGAATAGGTGGACCAGGTATGCGCTGATTGCAGAGAAGGAACCCTCAAAACTCGTGGCCGAGTCAATGATCTGTTTCTTGACATTCACCGCAAGCCTCTCTCTGAGGAAACTGGATCCGTAGGCATGATCAAGTAGTTGCGTTGTCTTCGTCCTGATCAAGGCGTTTTGGTAGTGCTTGGATTTCGCTGCCAGGTCAAAGGCATAGACTTTCCCTGATTTGAAGCCATCTATTGGTGCGCGGCTGCTGGTAAGGAAAGTAAACGTCACGGCGGAAGATTCTGCGGCCAAACCCGGCATCTGCAACCACCATGACTGCGCCTGGCTCGTCCATTTTTCGAAATCGGCGATGACGACCAGAAAGTCGACATTCTTGGCGTAAAAGATGATTGATGATAGCAAGGCAGTGAGGGTTTCTTGCGTCCAGGCATTCTGGCTGAGAATCTCGGCCATCAAGTTCTTAACAGGCCAAAACAGATATGGCCGTTGTGAGATGATTTGGTGGACGGTAGAAACCAAGACACCGCAGAAGCTCCCGAGATGACTTTCCAATGAGCTAATGAGGTTATCAATGATGACCACAGAAGATCTTTCGCGGAATTCCTGGGTGATGAGCCTCACAAGATCCGACTTCCCGTACCCCGTTGGACCATGAATCTGGACCGAACCTCCGCGAGACTGTTTCCAAGGAATCTGCTGCAATATCGGGCGGTAAATACCCTGCATGTCGTCGAAGTCGTCAGACTTGTCTAGGGTTCGGGCTTCATGCAGGATCCATCGGGAGAAAGACAATGATTGGAGGGTCTTGAAATAAGTATCGCTGATGTCAAACTGCGGTGCTACATGGGGGCCCTTAATTGATCCTGATGGAAGGTCAGCAGGGTTTATGAGAACAGGAAAGTTTTTACACGTACCCTCGTGATCAAAGAGTATATGGTCGGGTGTGAAGAGCCTTCGAAGCAGCCCGAGTTCATCCAAGTTGTTCACGGCGCACATTGCAGCACCTTTAGGCCCCCGCATCGGCCATAGGACTCCAAACTCGGGGTTGCTAGATTGGCTCATTTTTGGCGTGTATTCACCGTCAACCTGAATGAAATCCGTTGTCGGATACTTGACGGCAAACTTTCGAAAGACATGAGAAAGTTGTGCCACGGCATCTACGAGGCCGGAGAGCAGCTGGGAAAGTCGACCGGTGTAGCCTATGTTTGTGGCTTTGAGCATCTCAAAAAGAACATTTTCCCACCCGAGTCGACCGGTCGAGTGATCTGGCGCCTCACGCTTCGTTGGGCCATGGGGAGTGGCAAAGAAGAGCAGGCTGGCGACGTTCAGAGCAACGTCGTAGAATCGAGGCGTCCTGTTGGCAATAATTATAGCCTAGAGTTCTTAAAATGAGTATCTAGCAACTCTGCAAGAGTTCATAACTGGCACACAATACCTGTTTGACCACAATCCCACCAAAGCCATAACCGGCCAACAACACCCTATTGCGATCTTTAATCGCCTCCTGTGGCGCATGCTTCTGGATCCGAATAAGAAGTTCCAATGCCTCGCTTTCAATCCAGGCCGGCGAGTAAAATGGATGGGCCACTTGACTCTCAACGGATGCTGCATCGTCAGTGGTGGCAATATGCTCATCATACTCTTTCTCGATCGAAGCCATCCTCGCCTCTTTCACAGAATTCCCTGTGTCGGGATTTCTGATGTCGCTGATTAACTTTGGGCTGATCAACCTTGGGCCAACTAAGGAGGCAGGGATGCCATCTCTGTCTCTTTCACGCTCCTCGGGCCCGTCAGGTGCTTGCTGCTCATCAACTGCCAATGACTCTCTGTCATCTTCGTCCTCCGAGCTCAAATCTTGCAGCTCTGAAACGACGTCATGGCGAAAGATATTGTGTTGATAAACCCTCGCCTCAGGTACGAGGTTCGGGATCATTTCAACCACGGACATGGTTTCAGAGTCAGCGATCTCGCTTGGAAATCCCACAAAGTAGATTCTGATTGATCCAGGTTAGCAAGTCAACGGCCGCCTTCTTTTTGCCCTGCCAGCGACTCACCTGAACTTCCATGGCTCCTGATTCTCATCAGCGACCCCTTCAACGTCGTCATCAAAACTCTGATGGGAATTCGTATCGGACCCTTCTGCCATATTGAGCTATTTGATGCTTGACTGTGCGTAGCGCTGGAGGAGAGCACTATGATGGTCGTTTGCAGAAAAAGAAGGCGAGTCTTTCCCAGCCTGCTTCAAGTAATTAACAAACCCCGTCATTTACGGACTTGCCTTGTGACTGTGTCAGGCGCCAAAAAAGTGGCCAGATTCGGCCAGGGTCAAGCGACCTTAATCAATGCCTGCTGAATCCTGCATCGATATCCTAGGGTCTGCGGCAGGCTGTCAATATAGCCTGCTTCTGGCACACACACTCCGGAACATCGGAAGGTATGCCCAGAAACAGTCCACGCCAATCAATCGAGTATTATCTTTTGGTATCTCGTATCAAAATAATTGTGCTTCTACAGTTGGACCGCAGGTCTTTGGAAGAGTCACCTACAGCGGCTGACCCCCATTGTTTTATTCCACTTTTTGTTCCTCTCTCTCTGCTTTTATCTGTTCTCATTTAATAACGCGCCTAGACTACGGGAAACAATAACCTGGCTAATCTATAGTCCTAGTTGGAAATCGCGAGAACCGTCGTTCCCAATACCCCAGCCAAGCCCTCGAGGGCGTCAGCATTTAGATTTGCGTCGTCAATTTCCTTGGCTAGCTTGGTCTCCATGAAAGCGGCCTGCGTTGGTGGCCGCAAATACTGCACACCTGGTTTGAAGATTACGGGGTCGTTGGTAGGCGAAAGACCAAGGATGTCCCGCAATCCCTTCAAGGCATTGTAGGAAAAGTGTGCCTTGGCCTCCAGCTTGACCGTACCCAGGAAACTGTCGTTATTTTGGCGTCGCAGCAGTAATGCGGCCCGGAAATCGGTGACAATGCCCGACGCCGCAGTTTTGTTCTCGCGGATAGTCAGGCGAACTGCGTTGTTTGGCCCATAATCGCGAACGCTCATGTCAAGGATAATAGATCCCGTCAAGGTCGATCGGTCCGTCCTCTTGTGGTTGAGCTTTCGCTCCCATTTCCGTGTGAGGTGGCCGCCCCCTTGAATACCGCTCCCCGCCGTCACGCTGGCGCCAGCCTCGCCTCCGCTAGTCTCCTCAACCTCGACCTCTGTTGGCTCGCCAAGAGTGAAATCGCCGTTGGGCCAGAGCGCGACAACCTCTGGGTCGTTCCCGGACCGCTTCTTCTCATCTTGAAAGTTGATGGTGACCGTGGCCTGTTTGAAGCGCCGGTATTCGTCAATGCCGTGGAAGCGGAATCCGAAAACGATCAAGGTAGCCGGGCTTGAACCATTGATCTCGTGCCCATGGACTATACGATCCACGCGAGTCTGGAGAAGCAAGCCACGGCAACAATCATCGACCACATCAGGGCGCTGGATCTGGTGCCCGTCATTTTTCCTGTGGAAATCGCGGCCTTCTTCCTCTGTGTTGAGCTGTATATCGAATGCGAACGGGTCCTTTTCGTCCTGAGTTGCCATTTTGCTGGGGACCGCAGATCACCTGTTGACTCGAACAATACAGAAAACTTCCAAACAAGCTTGGAGTTATATCGCCGTCAAGTATGCTTCCCCTGACATTTGTACCAGGGTCATCTGTCCTACATAGAATAGCACGAGGAGCGGCTGAACGTGGGGGAGCCATCCGTAAACGAGCCTTGATATCCGCCCCCCGACCAATATCTTCTTGATCGGCCCGCCCTCTGCTTACGGTGACCAATTCGTTATGATAAGACCATAATCAGTCCTTGACTTGGAGGCGGTCACTCCGCAGGATGTTGCAGCCTGCAGACATTGCAGAGCCAATTGCAGTAACATGTCACCCACCATGAGGCCTGTCTCGTCACCATACCCATGAAATATGGCCGCCTGCCACCCCATTCCGGCCGAGCATGAACCGCTGAGCAATCTATTACACAGGCAACTGGCTCATGTATTGTCAAAGACCGGCGGCTGTTTGCAGTATTTCTTTCACAGCCGGCACCTCGCTGAGTGAGCCGAAACCTTTCTCCGCGCCGTTCGCAGACTCCACGATCCCTTCTCGTTCACCAAGACAAAGCTGACCCTAAACCCGAGGTTCTCCATATTCCCTTTGGCCACCTACACTATGACAACGACGGATGTTGCAACGGGCGATGCGACCAGAGGACCGAATGACATCAAATCTTCGGAAAGGCGTGGCAGGCTCGCAGGCGACAAAGTGAAGACACGACGCATCCGTGACTCGGATCAAGAATCGAGTGACGAAGAAGGTGCGCGTGTCGGCCAATACCATGGCAGGATTGTCAAGAAATGGATTCAATATCCGGCAGATGCCGACCACCCAAAATATGGCGAATTTCATTCCCAGAAGGATAACGAAGAGCGGAACCTTATCCATCGAACAATCAGAGAACTGTCTAGGAAACAGAAAGACCTTCCACCGCACGCCCTAACTTTCATCGAGTCCTTGGTAGTCGATTCTCCCGACCTATTCGTCGCTAAAGACTCAGACCAAAAGGTCCCAATGCTTGAAGCCGCCAATTCCCAGGTAGCCATCCTGTTTCGGATAATCAACCTCCTAATACCGAGCGAGATTCGCGATGCTATCAAGACCGAGTGCCAGGACGAGAAATCCAACTGCCCCTTACAAAAGGTGGTCCTGGCACGCCGAAAACAGTGCAGCATCAATCCAGGAAAGGCCAGTAAGGCCAGTAAGACTGACACCATACAGACTGCTGATCCTGAGCAAGGTCTTGATTCTACAAGAACGGAAATCAGTGGCATTGCAGAGAGAACCGAATGTCTTCACGGCCAGGTCGACGTGAAAAGGCTCTTGGAAAAAGACCATCAACTGAGAAAGAAGCTTGTAGCTGCTCTGAAGCCTCACGAGCAGGCTCAGTTATGTCTCCAGTCGCTCCTAGTGGACACCAAATTCGACAAGGGTCAGAAGAAAAGCGACCAAGTCGTCCCGTTGCCCGGATTCAAGACCCTTCTTCAACTCTGCCCTGATGATTTGTTCAGCAACCAACCGAGCAACGGGTACACTCCTCTGCAAATGGCTGTCAAGCTCTACGGCACCGAAGACATCGACTATGATCTTCTCTTCTTTGTCATTCAGGCTTTGATCGACCGATGCCCGGCTTCCATCTTTTTGAAGCATAAGGGCGAAAAGAATGCGTATAAATTGTTAAAGTCCTTGGATGAGGCGAAGTCTACGAAGAATGCCAGTTCGCGAGCGCTGGCCGAAGAGTTGCTGAAGAGAAGCTGCATTGGCTTTCCAGAAGGTTTGGGAGATGCAAGATCGGTCTTAGGGGGTGAGAGAAATGATTCCTGGGCGAAGAAGATGGACTTCCTCTACTGGGATGCAAAATTAGGTACGTCAGCCACAACTCTGAGAGAGCTGCTCTTGGCCTTACAAAAGATTCTGGAGGGCGACCCTAACTCGCGGGTAGAGCAGCGATTCTACCTCAACCTAACAGGGGAGTCCGTCATGCTCGACAAGGCCTACATTAATACAATAAAAAATCAGTCCGGCCTGCGTCTCGAAACTGTGTTAGATTTTGTCAAGTTGCCTTACTGGAAGCCACAAGACCGGAATTCACGACTGAGCTCCGCGAATGCGCGATATGGGCAACATCAGAATCACAGTCCTAGCGAAGGGAAAGATGTTGGCGAGCCTGAATTGCCAACCCTCGATCCCTACGGGGCCATGTTTGATTGGCTATGGGGTTGCAACGTACGCAAAATTTTCACGATCGACGTCGATGACGACGGTCCGGAGCCACACACCAATGCGTCTATTCGTAAAGCCTTCAGAGGCGAGAATGACAGTACCAACCCGACGCGAGATTTCGAGGTCGAAGTTTGGAAATGGAAGAAGTTCGACATCTGCGCTGAGACTGTGGCCACGGCGGCTCCGAAGGCCCGACATATCTATTTCTATTCCCGCGGGAATACAGCTGTTCTACGGGGCTGGGCCAGTAGCCCAGGGTTAGCCAAGTTACAACAGGCAAGTAGTGCTGCGTGGATCTGGGAAGCTTTACACTAACAGTTAGACAGCTTGAAAAGTTGAACATTGAGATATTTCCAGAGGTCAGTCATTCCCATGACACCAAGATGCTGTCCCCGCAAGCGAATTGCTGCTGACATGTACCAAGAACGTGAACGATGAAGAAGATTGTAGGGTATACGAGCCAAACTTTAAGGAAACCCTCGCACAAAACTGTGCACAACTCAAGATTGAGAACATTTCGGTGAAGAATCACGGTTACCGGAGGGACCTTGGAGCAAATGAAGCTGGCAACGAAGGGATGAGTGTCAGGAACAAAGGCCAGTCACGGCACGAACAAAGCACGTAAGTCTCTCGATTGATGGTCTTCAGTACCTCTTGGATATTAAGTATCAGCACAGGCCCGACACAAATGCATGGATAGGGTATCTCTTAAACTTCAAGCAGTTCATGCATAATCTTGAACTCAGTAACAAGCCCTCTATCAAAGTTGCACTCCTAGACGACGGTGCCAAGTTGACTGACCTTCATGGCCAACAAAATGGTCGATCGTTCCGCGCAGACAAGGAGGAATTCTTTGTTGGGCCATGTGAGCATGGTACGGCCATGGCACGCTGCATACGGGAGGTCTGTCCAATGGCTGAGCTGTACATCGCCCGCCTGGACGATTCAAGACATGTGGAGAACCAGAAGTTCACGATCACCTCCTGCCACCAAGTAAGAGCCCACCTGCATCAAAGCTATGTGAGGGCTGAGGAATTGCTAAGACCAAGTAGGCTTTACAATGGGCTTTGGACATGGAGGTGGACATCGTCTCTATGAGCTGGACGTTCGAGAGAAAAGGTATAACCAACGATGAAGCTGAAGAGGCGTTTGTTAAGCTTGCCAAGCAAGCCATTGCCAGCGGAAAGGTGATTCTCTTCGGCTCCCTTCCAGACAAGGGCCCAGGGGCACAGACATCAGAATTCCTTCCCATAGGGATGGACGGCGTCCTCAAGATCGGCGCCGCCACCCTCCACGGGCAAAGTTCGGCTGAAAATATACATTCCAACCCCGATTTCCTTCTCCCTGGTGAGAGCCTATTCAGCCCTACTGGGGAGATTGTCCGGGGTAGCTCATACGCCACAGCCTATGCTTCTGGTCTTGCTGCTATTGTGCTCTACTGCGTGAAAGCACACCAAGAGTTGGAGGAGGTCACAGAAGACGACGAGATGCATAAGGCTTGGGATATGGCCAAGAGGGTGAAAGGGATGAAAATTATTTTCAACCGTCTTAGTCAGAAGAACTCTGAATACCGGTCGGACCGAGGTGCTTTTGTGCAACCGTATATTGTCTTTGGGCAGGATTTCAAGGATTCTCGAGACGACAAGAGGAACGCTTTGCGCAGGATTGTGACAGAAATCCTCCCTCCTGACGTCCTAAGGTCTTTCCACATAGAATAGCTTTAGACAGAGGCATCAGGATCGTTATCAAGGGTTTTCCATAGTTTTTTCAACCAATACACAACATTAGCTTTAGTAAAGAGGGCGTGATAATATCCGTCACCAAGCAAAACGACTCCATATGTGAAAGGGAAAGAGTAACGTTTGGAAGAAATGGCATTGTAGACCGGGTACCGTGCGATTCGGTCTCTTTAAATACCTAGGAAGGGGCCCTTGGGCGTCATAGCTGGGCCACTAAGCCAGGCGATTTCCATGATGATGGATCCGGCGAGGCCTATGTTCTTCTGGTTGTTGAGGTTGTGCACAAGCCTGAGTGTCACGCCGAGCTGGTCGAGAGACTACCCTTGCAGCATCATGGACACGACCAAAATCTTGACCCTTTTGACGACGATTTCGGCAGAGTACCGGAGCTTGATGTCGTCGGATATGGATATTGGCTGTGTTGGGTCGACGGCAACACGGGCCTACGCCAGCGCGTTCTCGACACTCTAGGTGGCAGGGACCGCTGTGCTTTTGGGATTCGAAGTAAAGACCTTTCATGCAGTCAGTACTCGAGCCTATGCGATGTCTCTAGAGTTTTTCGAAGTGGGACCCAAGCTGACTGCTACGTCCAGGTTGGAGGCGGTCGTCGAGATGGAGACGAAGGAGCCTTGTACGATCTAAAAGTCTCTCTTCCTGATACTGTCGATCGTGGATCCCGCGGCTGTCCCAAATATCAAGGTGATGATGATGCAAGAAAGAATCTGCACGATAACAAGAGTCGATGGCAGAGCTAGGCGTATCAACCGTTTTTTGTTACGATTTCAAAATAGATTAAGAGGTCTATAATGTTGATTACTGTAGTTAGCTAAGCATAAGGCATGAGATACCAAGCCCCCGTTATTTAACTTCCGGCCGATTTTAAGCTAAGCCAGAGAAGCAGGTCCACTGCTGGCGACTTCTCATCAGTGAAGTAGACTGAATGCACTGTTCTGTTACATATCGACTACAAGGCAGGATTCAGGTATGATCTAGGCGCCCAGCTTGTAACCGCCAGGGACAAGATGTTGAAAGGTTCCCTCCTTGTCGTACTTCTGTGAGATAGACTTCATCCTCTTGACGTTCCCCTCTCCGTAAGTGCTGATGACATCGGCGGTCTCCGCAGCGTTGTTCATCCACTGATTCGGCATCCGAGCATCGCGCTTACGAGCCAGCTCTGTGGCCTTGGCCAAGAAGTCAGCGTCCATCTGAAGGGCTGCCGCGTCGTTGTCGGCATTGCCCCAGCTCGTTCTCAAGTTGAGCGCTGCAAATGGTTGATCAGTTCACTGTTTGTGTAATGGACAAGGTCCGCCAATGTCAAAAGTGTGGTTGCACTTACAGTTCTGGTTGACCTCCAACCAGCCACCTGCGTTGCCGCCCTTTCTGTTGGACTCTTGTACGGCGTAGGGAGTGACGGGGTTCCAGGAAAGGCCGATGGTGTGGTCAGCAAGAGTCGAAGATGCGTAGTGGGAGAAGAACAGTTCAGAGATCTCCTTGTAGAGCTCCTGGTCCGCTTTGATGTTGATATTCCCGCGACCAATACTGCAAAAAGGTGTACACGTCAACATCTTTCTAACACAGAGATCAGATCTACTACTAACCGTTGGGTATAAACAGCCGAGAACTCGGGTGTCACAGCCTTGGATGCCTCGACGGTGAGGGTGTTGCGAGAAAAGTTTGTTGCAATGGCACCGACATCAATCAGAGGCTGAAGCGCCGTGGGATAAGAACCTGTGAAGTTGACCTTGCCAGTGAAAGAGGTGAGGTCAATGGTAGTGAGGTTGATTGCGGGGATGATCATCTCCATGCAGGTGACCACGAGCTGTGGGTCGTCGAGCAGCGCTCCATTTTGGATCTCATAGAACGCATCGAGGGCAGCGTTGGCTTGGCTCAGGTCGTACGAGATGGTGCCAGAGAAGATTCCGTTCGGAATGGGGAAGGTGTTCATATCAAAACGAGTAACAATGCCGAAGTTGTTGGAGCCGCCTTTGAGAGCCCACCAGAGATCGGAGTTTTCACTCGCGTTAGCAGTGACGACCTTCCCGCCGCTGAGAACGACTTCAAAGTTGGCAATATCAGCGCTGGAAAATCCGCGGCTTCCGAGGAAACTACCAAAGCCATCTAGATAGCGCTGTCAGGATGCATCATTTTTCACCAGTAGGAGATCGTGCTCGTTTTCGAGGTTTGGAACTTGACTTACTACCAGTCAAGAGGCCAGAGATGCCAACAACTGCAAGCTCGCCTCCAGTGACTGTGACCCCCTGGCTTTCGAGCGTGCTATACACTCGGCCCCAGTTATTACCTGGGCCAAGACTAGCGACATCCTTGGACGGAGTAAGTGAGATGTTGTTCATCTTCTCCAGGGCAAGAAGCACACCATCTTCAATACCGGCCGCTCCAGGGTTGGATGTAAAGCCCAAGCCTCGGATGGCGAACTGTCTCTGGAAGAACTCGAAGATCTTGACACCAGAGGCAACTTGTTCCGTGTTCTCTGGGGTGAAAACTGCAGAGGCGTTCAGGCGAGGCCGCGAGCCGCTTTGGAACTTAGAATTGTAAAGGGAAGCTGGGTGCGTCGAGAGGGCTTACAAGTATTTGTTGATCCAAGTAGAGTATTCAGGACTCTCGGGTAAAAAGACATTCTGAGGATACAGGCTGCTCAAGACCTCTTCAGTGTAGTTACAACCGGTCACACTGCGCTGATGTATCTGCGAGGCCTTGTCTTGGGTTAGGCCTAGCGCTAGAATGAAGCTCGTGATTTGTTCTTGGGTGACCATCATCTTGACTGGAGAAAGAGGTATTGGCGGGTGCTGAACGAAGGTGTCGAATCGCTTGTGTTCTATTCATCTGAATCTTGGGAAAGGATCCCGACTTGTGAACATTTCATACTCAGGCATCGCTCAACTTATTAGATCCAACAATTGTTGAGCTCAAGAAGTGCCTGTTCCGGGATCCCACGATGCCCGGGCCCCGGATCATGGCCTGGAGCTCCGCTCAAACAATCGGGCCTGTCAACTGATGATGGGCTTTGTGGAATCCTTACCGCAACATCGTCACCATGTTCCCTAAAACCAACTAATGACTCATCCGGCCAATTTCGAAATTGGGTCTTGGCAATTCTGGTCGCCAGATCTTTGGGGCCTACGACGCGTTTTCTGCCACCGATCTATTCACTCCATGTGGTGTAAGCTTATTGAATGGGGCCGTGTGGAAAGGGGGTTCTTGGCCGGACCCGATATGGCGAGTATTAAAGAGTTAAAGCTTCTGGACTCAGGGGCACGGACTGCCTTCAAATTTCGGGACGAACACCCGGCCACATGCCGGCCGCGATGCCTCGGGGCTCCGCAGATTCCGGCGTCCGAGATGCTGCATTCCGAAGAGAAACATCTTACTCCGGGGAGATTAAACTTAATCCACAAGTACTCCGTAGTTAAGGTAAGCTGCCACTAGCAATCCATGTTCGTACCAATTTTGAAGCCGCGTGGACATCTGGTCGTTTGGTATCCGTTATCGGTGAAAACTCTGTCGGCGATGACTCTTCCCCGGGAATCTAGGCATTTCGCAGCCCGGGGGCCACCTTTCAGGAGCACGACTGTTTGCTGTTAAGAAACCGAATCTTGTTGTCATGTTGCACTGTTGGTGTCATCAAAATTGTCATTTCCTTCTCCCCGTCATATTTCGATATGATGCAAGTATCAACACGCTCGTTTTAGTCGACTTCTCTTCAACTGATTGCCGACTTTCCCGCCGGTAAACTTATGTCACGAGTTATGGCACGCAGCAATGGGCATACGGAGTGTGGTAAAAGTGGCTTAACTATCAAAGTGGAAATAGACAAAAGGAAAAGGTCTATATACACGATGTCTGAGATAGACACGTGATTCAGCACGTGACGGGCACTTCGTGAGATGCGGTTACTATCCCTGTTACGTGACAACTTACTTCATCGATTTTGCTTTCCAACCACTCATCATAGGCTCAACACTTATCAGTCTGAATGGGTCAGGGAAGGGACTTTGTCTGCTCCCTCCCGTGGGGACTCGAAACGCCTGATGGATCCAAGGTGCACAGCTCTCTGGCGGCCAATCAATAAATTGCAACCGCACGCGCCTCTGATTAGCGACACCAGATTTCTGCTTCTCGACTAAGCGACTGGTGCTCTTGATATAGAGAGGCCCACGCTCGGCTGGCTCATGCTGTAAAGCAGATTGATAGGACCACGACTTCTATGGCTAATCGTCTTAGTACTTTTAAGGTCGCCGATTTGAGCTACGTGTTCCACAGGGGCGCTCTTTAGGAGATGGGAACACACTAGGAGATAATCGCAGCTAAGGGTATGTACCACAAGATGTGTGAGGCACAGTGATTGGAAAGAGTTGTAGTGGATGATTTCAAAAGGGATGGTAATACGGCTACCTTCATCGACTACATTGCGCATTAAACGCGGTTTCTGTATCATAATCAAGCCATTCTCGCCGACTGACGATACATAAGACTCTGCTTAGGTTGACTTGTGCCCTTCCCTGGAGGAAAATCCAGACGATCTGTGCTAGCCTAACTTCCTAGCGTCGCGTCAGCCAAGCCTTTGAAGTCCTTCAAGAACGCCCATCGACCCTTCTCATGCCACTTCTTTGACTTCCATTCGTTGATTGTCTTTGGAAACATGTCGACTATCTCGGGGATAGAATCATCGTGTGCCATGGTAACAAACACATTGTCGTACCCGTCCATCTCTTGCACCTTGGCAATCGTTGCATCCGCAGCTCCGTGATCATGAGTGTACTCGGCATATCGAGGGTCTCGCGTAATTGTATAGAATGGAGCTCCACAAAGCCCGCCCTGAGGACCTTTGTGATCATCAGACGTCAGCCCGCGACAAGGAGAAGATGGTCCTGAAGTCAGCGAGCCAAGACGAAAGTCGCTCGGGGTTGTGCGGCGTGCAGAAGGTCGGAACTCTCCACAGTGATGGCACGAGTCGGCACCCATGAAGACGAATGTGTCCGGGTTGCTTGTTGTCCGGGCTAGCGCTCCAACATGGCCGATACTGTGTCCAGGAGCATCAACGATGTAGAACGAGCCGTCACCGAAGTAATCGAAAGCTGTGAACGGACCAAGAGGGACACAGCTGGCCTTTTCAAAGTTGACCTCATCCACTAATTTCCCACTATATTGACCATTCTCAGCTCTCGATACGTTTCAAGTAGCTTTTGGACATGTTATACATTAACTCACCTCAGATCGCTAGCTAGCAGTGGCGCCAGACCATCGTCGGGATAACCTAAACGGAAAGCATCTGCGAACCCCGGGCCAACGACAACTCGTGTAGTATCGGGAAACAAACTGAGATCTCCGATATGATCCCAGTGATGGTGACTATATTCAGCTCATATTAGGGTGTCCTTGGCGGGAACAGAAAAGTACCTAATCAGGCACATGGGAAGTTATTAGGGGTACACACCTCAATACCACAGCCTCTATGTCGCCTGGAGCGATTCTCTCGCGTTCCAGAATGTCAACGATGTCCTCTTCCAGTTTGATTTCAATCTCGTCATTCTGAATCTCTGATAGCGAAACCGGGCTAAGTTTGTGCCAGTCCTTTCGTAGACCGAGATCGAAGAGGACTTTCCTGCCGGTAGAACTCTCGATCA